CAGTTCTGAATTTCTTTGGGTTGTTTTCTTAGGAAGATCAGCCACTGAGGAAAAATCTTTAATATATGGGAATCTGTTTTTATACCCAATATTTTTTTAAATGTGGCTTATGTAAACACAGCAGATACTAATGTTTAACAGAACAAAGACTGCAGTGAAAGGCGTTCAGAGAACGGGCATGAAGGTCAGTAAAACTCCTGGAATAAATCTTTGTTAGTCAGTTAATTAATCAATCAGAGGCGTCTTTGAGTGGACTGGCAGGGTGGGTCACTTCTGAAGTTTTACGGCCACTTTGATGCACTTTGCACTTTAAATTAACTTCAGTTCAACAGGCTTAATGGAGACAGAGTAATTGCATGAAAATCAGCTGCGAACAATGCAGCGCAAGCATAAACTGTTTCAGATCCCAAAAGCTGCATTGATTTCCCATCAAGTCCTGCAAACTGGGAGAAGAATGCATATAAAGCAGATTGAACTGGATCCAATGGTGAAAACCCTGAGCAGGGGCCGATCGAGGACAGAGTTTAATTCTGGTCAATCAGGAGAACAAACCGTTTCCAAAGTGAGGCCCGGGTGCCCTTTGCGACCTCAGTGATTTTGAACTGCAGTTCAAACTTATATAAATTTGGCCTGTAGATGGTGGAGACTTAATTTGTTATCAGGGTAAAAAAAATAAAATCTTCTTCTAAAGAATGTACAAAGTTCAACACAAAGTATCTGTTTTTAATAAAAGATTAAACAAGTTCATCCAGAAACTTTTACTGAAAGGTCAACTTTATTCTAAAACTTTTTATATAGCAAGTATTTGGAAAGAAAGTGACTCAAATCTGGAAACAAGTTTGTTCAATCAGGCCCAGAAGAGTCTGAAAACTGGATGTTTTTCTGTTAGTATGGGTCCTTGTAGAAATAAAATACATTTCTGCCAAAAGACAGTAATGCCAGAAATGTTTGAGAAAACAAGGAAATTTTTTTTAAAAATCTAATTTTTAGAACATCAGAAACATACAAAAAATGAAAATTTCAAATGTTGAAATTTTCTGAGTTTTGGCAGGATATTTGCTCCATAATGGCCCCAATACACAGTCGTAAAAATACTTCTCAAATTTAGGACAATGAATAACGGGCTGCGATACTGGCTTGACTTTAGATCAGGGTTTTTTGTCCAAGAACTACTTTTGACCCAAAAAAAAGTTTTGCCACCCCTGGTTTAATCTTTCCTATGAAAGCTGCTCAGCAGTCTGTTATGCAATGCTTCCTAATACGATTCAGAAATAAATGAATAAAACAAAATACTGGATAAAGATGCTGTCAGCTGCACAGGACATGGAAATCAATATGCAGCTGAGAAAATCCCAGAAGTTTAAACCAGGATAAATGCCTTCATGTTGATGGGAGAAATGATCAAGTTGAAGATCTGATTAAATATTAACTGGCCTCATGTAATTTCCAAGAATCGGGACGTTATTTCCAGTAACGTCCCGATGGAGGAAAAACTAAGCAGAACCTGCAAATCTGTGAGGAGATCAGAAATAGATAGCAGCTAATTTAACCTCTCTGCCACAGCATTTAAAAGCAGATTCCCCACAGGCCGAGCGTCGCCGTCAGGACTGACAATCACTTCTTGGGTCTGACATGTGATGGAGGGAGCAGCCCAAAGAGGGATCCAAAAAAAAAATAGAAACCAGTGAATCAAAGCCTGAAGGAGACCAAGTTTAAATAAACGCCCCAAACAGGAAAGCTTAGTTTAGAAAATTCATCTTTACAGCTGAGACTTTAAAATTTTAACACAATAATCACGATTTTGTGTGTTTTTGGTGAAACCATAAAGGAAATACAAAACAAAGACGAAATAAACAGAAAGAATGAAAAGGACAAAAGAACATGATAAATAAAAATAAAAAAACAGGTTGGAAAACATTTTACGAAACGGGTTAAATATAGAGCAGCGTAATAAAACGCTAAAATTTGAAGCGGGCCTAATTTTTTCTTGCTCCCTCTGAAGTTGTAGATATGTGCAGGGACAGCTGTTCCACCTAAAAATATCCCACAATCTGTTGTCAATGGTGGAAAAAACAAGTCCTGCAGGAAGCTCCCTGTGGGGGAAACCTGCCAAAAGTGCTCAAAGAAATCAATTTACACCAGAGAGGCTCGTTCAGAAGCAAATCATTTCAATATTTAAATCATTTTAAATCATTTCAATATTTACATTTAAATAACCGTTTGGGATTTTTCCTTGAGGTTGTAGAGTTTTTCACAGGTACATTAAAATACATCAAAGCTGCAGAAACATGTACTGCAAATATAAACATGATTGCTTTATATTCATGAGATAAAACTGAAGTCAATGTCAGCTTCATTATGAAAACGCTTTACAAAATATGAAGATGTGCACCATAAGTGCAACAAAGAGGGAAAACTGCCACTTTAAGAAAAACAAATCAAATTAATATTCAAACTGTATTTGATTTGCATGCAAACTACAGGCAATGCTTTTCTTTTATAAAGGTTTCCAAACAAAATCAGTCCAGTAACTGGAAGAGTTTAATTTTTCCTGGTAATCAAGGCAGGAGTCTCTACAGTAAAGATAAAACCAAATTTTAACCCTCAAAAATTAGGAATAGCAATAAGTGCTGGTTTAATTAAGTTGTATGTTCTACTTAAATAGTTTCTTGAAACAGATTTTCAAACAATATTCATTGTTTTTAAAAGTAGAGACCCAAAACAATTAAGATATAGTATTTAGTGGTTAAATGCCATTTACAAACTAACATTTTTTATATACAGTTAAAATATGACAAAAAGCTTCAGAGCCGATAAGACAGGACCAAGAACACAGCCTTGAGGAATCCTTCACTCAGCAGCCAATACAGCTATTCTATTCAGTAAACATGTGGAAACGCACAGAAAATGCCAAAATGCACAAATAGAAAAACAAAAATGTAGCAAAGAAATAAAATACGACTTAAATTTTACTCCTCTTGAAATTGAGCCTCCGTCTCTTTCTGAAACTCTGCCTTCAGGAAATCATCACAACATGGCTCCTCTATTAACCCTTTCATAAAATTCCTACTAGTGTTGCTCCAAGGACAGCAGATGCTGCTGGCTAGTCTGAAGGAGCTCAGTGGGGAGGAGCTTTGTCTGAAGGCGGGGCTAGGTCCAACCAGGCATTTTGAACAGCTGGAAATTATTTCTCAAACATTTCAATAACATAAAATAAAATTTATTTTATTCGACACTCCCCTTTAAGACTTTATAGTTGCTGTTTAGGGTCACTGTGACAGTGTGATAGAGAAACTACATTGTTAAATACTACATGCTAATGTAATCCGTTTTTTCTATGGCAGGAATGCAATAAAACGTAAAAACTCAGGTGGATGTCAGTAGGAAATCAGTTTTCAGGGAAGTGAGGAGGAAATATAAAGAACAGGTTTCTGATCCTCTGTCTTCAGAGACAAAGGTCAGATTAATATATCTGAACCGTTTTAGCTTTCAGCAACCAATTTTGAGCCAGGCTCCCTGGCTCAAAGCGGTCAACTTGGCGGCTTCGCCCGGCGAACAGCGGCGACGCGGCGGACGCTCGGCCCGATGGCGAACCAAGAGGAGCTGATCAATAATTCAGAGTCAATATTCTGCTGGTTTGGACCGACTGGAGGTTCTGAACGGCTGGAACATTAATATTTATCTGCTGCATGTTTAGATGTTACTAACCGAGTCATTGATTCGAATAATGTTTCTGTTGAAGTGTCATCATCTGAAGCTCAATTTGACCTGATCAAAGACTAAACCGGATTATAATCTGGGTTAAGGAAGGAATCAATGAAAGGAGAATTTGGAATACTGCCGTTTTCCTTCCATAACTGATGCATTTAAAAAGAATTTTAGTTGTACAAACAAACATTATTGCACATAAACATCTCATTTTTACTAAATAGTTTAAATTAATAAAAATCACTATTCCTATGTTTTTATTGAACAGAAATTGTATTTTATTCCAGTTTCTTATATTAATATCTGCAATAAAAACACCTGAAGATTAAAAACATAGGGGAAAAAAAATCAAGTTTTCTAATATAAAAAAAATTAATGGATCGGAGGATAAAAACATCACAAAATAAATAAATCACAAGTTGAAGTTGATATGAAAGTGAAAGAGCCTTTTTACTATGATCAGCCTGTTTATTCCTGGTACAAAATGTACGAAATACCTGACTGAGCATAAAGTAGAAAATTAGTTTTAGAAACTGCAAGTGTAAACACAGCGAACAGAGATTATAAATCAGCATTATTTAAATAACATCCCACAGGAGAGAAAATTTCACTTATTGGCTTTTTTTTGGTAATTCTATTAAAATGTAAGCAAGGACAAGGAGGAGAGCGAAATTACGCAGAAAGATCAGAACATCCGTCACTGTCAAAGTAAAAACTGGAGCTGCGACTTCAAGGACTTTGCAGAGGAGGAGGAAGACGAGGAGGAAGAGGAAACGATGCTGGACAATCACAGAAAAACAGAAAACAGATCTACGAGCAGAACAATTTCTCACCGAGACGAAAGGAGGAAGGACAAACAGGAGGAATGAGACCAAGAATGCGCTGCAGTCTGAATCGAGCTGCTCAGGTCCTCTGTAAGGTACAGTGGAGGCTCTGTGATGCTGTGGGCCTATTTAAAGTCTAAAGGGATCCTGGTTGTGGCCAGATCGGCTTTCTGAACCAGAAGGAGCTCGATGCTTTTAATCATACTTTGTATCAAATTAAAATGAAAATATTAACATGACTAAACTTCAGTTGTAAAAAAACATTTTCTATTTCAGAATTTTTTTTTTTTTTTAATCGATTTCATTTCAGATCCATTCACTGGTGGCCTAAATTTCTTCAGTTGTGATCAGGGCCATAAATGTCATTCCAAGGACCGCAAAGAGGCCCGAGTGCCGTTTGTTTCGCCACGCCTTCTCTGTGTTGAACTTGTGATTTAACCAGTTTGCAGAAAAGACGTCAGCACTCACCAGGAACACCCTGTAGGCGTCCTTCCTGGTGACGGAGCCCCAGCAGGCGTCTGTGTCGTTGTACTTCACACTGCCGGCGCTGCAGGAGTGATTCCCGCTGCGAAAACACAAAAACAAGCTAGAAACATGGGTTTGAATTGAAAGAGACAATAAAATGTAATCAATTTCAGATTTTGCAGTTAAATTTTAATCTAGACCCAACCAGAGACCAGATTAGCTGAATTCATGAGTTTCATTCAGGAAAAAGAATGAGGAAGTGCAGTACCACGCCTCACCTCAGGGGGTGCTGTGTCACATTAAGTAATGTTGGACCAGAGTGAAGTTGCCTCCCCTCTTTTAAATGTAACAAATTCAATAAACATTGTGCTGCGTTTGTGTCACCATCGTTTAAAGATGTTTCCAGAGGTCATGAAAGGTCAACCAGCCCCACCTTCTTCACATCAGATAAAATTACAGTCACCAACTCGACCATTTCTTTTGTTTGTGCTGCTTTTGCTCTGACGATGTTCATGAAAGTTTAAATATCAGAAGGTCGAAAAACACCAGTTGCAAAAATAAGCAGGTCAAAGAAAACATCTTAGATCAAATATGACTTTGCATTGGATATTTTTCATTTTTCTTGTTATATTGTTGAATTGAATGAGATTGGTTAAAGCATAATCAAAAGCTAAGGTTAAAACTGATATGAGCTTCTGTATTGGACATTTGTCCCTTAACTAAATAAAATATTGTATTTTTAGTTTTGCAATAAAATCCTTTCTGGAGGCAAAGGAGAGCAAGTCTGCTGGTTTCTGGAAATGAAGCTTTATTGTTTCATCCTCAGAGGTCAAGAGGTCACGCCAAGAGGAAACAAACGAGCAGGAGTCTCACCAGGCGACCTCCATGAGCGAAATGGGCACGGCGGCGGCGTAGATGGCCAGGTCGCCGTACAGGTAGACGATGATGCAGATGTAGAACATGTTGACTCCGACTGAAACAGAGGATGAAGACGCGATTCATTAAGAAACACGAGATCAAGAGGCGACAAACAAACGCATTCTTCATTCGCGGCGACCGTCCAAACACGCCGCCGTGATTGATGGCTGACTGTCAAACGTCTGCATCAATTTTAGAGCGGCGTCCCTCCATCTGAGGCAGCCTCTAGGCGCCAGGCACATCTTTTATGTCTAATGAGGAATATTAATGGATTAATTATTACCCTAATCACTCAATAAGAGCAAAAACGTCCATCAGCTTTAATTTCCCTGTTCTCTCCCACAATGATCGACAAATTTCACCAGCAGAAGCATCCAAAATGTGCTGCACATCCGTCATCCTCTGCACCATAAACGAGGGGTCAGATAATTCATTTCTGCCCAAGACATTAGAGTGGAGGGTCCATTAAAAAATTAAGCCGGACAGATTTACAGCTTCTCCGACCAGATTCCTAAAAACCCAAAGAGTGGAGCTAATGACCAACTCAAGTTCAAATAGAGATTTAAAACAAAACTAAACAATTTAGCTGAGTTTCTTAAATTGAAAAAGTTGGTGAACGTTTTCCTAGATCAATGCAGTTTGTTTTCATCTGTATGATTACAGAAAACAAGTATATTTTAAATAGTCTATTGATTAAAAAAAAAAACTTGCATTGATCAGTCTATTCTTCGTTTTGTTCGAAATGTAAAAACACTTTCAAAGCAGTTTTGTCTCAAACCAAACATCTCCAACTTTTCCAGGTTTTAAAGAAATGATTGCCACATTTAGAAATGTTCACTGTAAACGTCAAGTTAAAGATCTCGGATGTATTCTTGTTTGGTTAACAGTTAATCTGCAGCCAAACAAACTAGATTCAATCATTTTAAATCACATTTAATTGTTGACATTACAGTTAAATCAGACAAACTCAGATAATGAATCTGTAAAAGGTAAATCTAAAACTGTTCCACTCATGACTGAACTCAGGCCCGTTTGTGTTTATAGTCAGACTATAAAGCTTCATCTGTAAATAAAACCCTATTTCTATTTTATTCATCCATATTATTTTGTCATGCTGACACTTTACACACAAACCAATGTAAAAATGTAGTTGAGATGCCATTTATGATCTTATTTAGAAAATGGGGCTGAAATGTGAACTTTACTTCTGGAAGATTTTAGCTATCCCGGCCTTCAACACGAACGCGTCACCTGCAGACAGAGCAGGAAGTCCTGGTCTCTGCTGCTCCTGTCAGTAAGCGATGGCGTGACCACGGGGGACGCAGACTTTCACAAGACTGTAACTAATATCACCCAATTACCCAGAGCCACAGGCAAAAACGCAGCGAAATGAGTCTTCGTGCAGCGGCGCTTCATGCAGCTGTGGGAAGCATTAGCATCCATCAGCACATTACCTCTGACCGGACTGACAGCGGACATGACGGCCTGTCGGTTCAGGGAGAAAAAACGCCAGGCTACATTTAGTCCAACACAGCAGAGATGGACCGAGCTGAGAAAACCTCTGCAAACTAATGAAGGTAATTTACAGATAACAGACTTATTGATTTCACACCTGATGGTTCGATCGATCCGGTTTGATTCTGTGATCAGTTACATTTGCTTCGTTTTGCTTTAATGTGACTTAATCCAATCTAATTTTTAAAAAATGTTAGAAACAAGAAGAAAAAAAAAATGAAAAAAACCTTGACTATTTGCATCAAGTCAAACCCGTGAGGACGAGCTGCTGCACCCAAAGTGCACAAAGGCTGCAGCTCCTTCCTCCAGCAGCTGTTTAAGCCTGAAACGTTTACAGTCCTGCACAAGTTTTTCCAACTCTTACAGTCTGTTGTTTTTACACACAAGTTTATAATTTAGTCAGCTTTTTCTAATTACTGTATTCAATATTCATTCTTTCTGCTGTTGCGGAGTTTTTGTTGTTACCAATTATAATTTTAATGCTTAAATAGATTCACTCATTTTGGACTGGAGTGCATCGTTTTCTTTCAGCAACGTTTATGTTTAAATGTTACCCAGTATAATATTTTTACTCTCAGCGTGAGTCCATTTCATTTGCACAATTTTCTGAAAGTACTTTTTTCCTGATGCAGTAAATCAGTTTTTACTGTTCAGTCTAATCTTATTTTCTGTTTTTATTTACAAGTTGAGGGACAATAGGGGATATTTTTATTCTATTAAAAAATTCCCATCATTAAGCTGAAGCCATATTTGATTTGCATCTCTTTAAGTCACAAATTCAGCCACAAATTAAGCCCATCATCAAGCGGACGTCTTTCCTGGAAATGCACTCTGAATATTGATCAGTTTGACCGCAACAAGTCTTTACGCAACACTGAAATTAAATGACAGAGGAAACAAAACTGATGTAAACACGACTATTTAGCTTCTAAACCACTGGGATATTCATCTCCTCACAACAATGACATTTAATCCAAAACCACTTAAGAACAAGAATAGATGTGTTTGTGTTTGACTCCAATTACAGACAGAAGCCTGTTTTACTGCAGATTGAATTAGTATTCGTAGCCATGGTCCTGCATATGTTGGGGAGGGGGTGGGCGGCTTACATTGGAGAAACAATCGTGATGTTTGCACAGCCAACGCATCATATCACACAGGTAAAGAACAGCAGAGACAAGATGCTGACGCAAGGACAGCCCCTCTCTTTGTGACTTTCCCAAAGTCGTCTTCTAATCAACTTTCAAATCATAGATGTGAAGGTTAAAGAAGCTGCTGCTACAGTGCTGCTGCAGATAAGCCGGCCCCCCATCAACATTCCTGTCAGTGGCTGCAGGTCGGGCTGATACGAAACCCATGGACTTATTCCAACAGAACCGCCGCTGCCGCGTCAATTCCTACATCAAATGTCCTCCAAGCGTCGCTCTGCTGCAGCAGCAGGGGAAAAGCTTTTTAATTGGCTGTAAAGGTGCAGGACTGATGGGCAGAACGGAGTGGAGAGGTGGTGATGCACTTGTTTAATGTTGTGGAAATGCAACCTGGCGTAATGAACTTGCTTGCATTCATTCTGCTTAATTACCTCAGTGAAGAATCTATATCTTCCTGTGAAAACAGTTTCTCTCTACAGCACTTTGTGAGAAGGTACACCTGCTTGATTGCTCATTAACAATTGAGGGAATCAGCCAATCACCTTGCAGAAACTTGATGCATGTTGAAGTTCAAAGTGAGCATCAGAAAAAGGACTTAAATCACTTTGAATAAGACATTAAGCACCACAGCCTACATCTGGGTTTGCCTCTATACAGAAAAACCCAAAACCTCACATTTTTAGTGCAAATATTTTAGTACAATTGAATCACGACTAACTTACAAGTAAGAGCTGGTTTTGAGTCGATTTCTCAATTTTGACGAAAAAGGATTTCATTGGCAGATTTAGACATTCTCCCATATTATAAGTGAAGTGATTTGTACTCAGCACCTATATGTTGCTGAAAAGTTAGTTTTGCCTTAATTCAAGTTTCGAGACTAGAAACCAGAACAAATGCTTGGTAAGATTTGTTTGTTTTTTGCAGTGCAGCATATTAGAAGGGCCACCAGGCTGACTGACGTTTGTTTTTAAGTGATAAGACGAGTTAAGCTAGGTTTACGTAAACGAAATCAGTAATCTGTAGTAGACCATGATTGTTTAAGCGCCGTCAATCATCCTCTTGTATGCTCTTCTAAATATGCCAATGGGGGAGAAAATTACAGAAAAACCATTAATCAGCCGTCACCACTAGCTATGCAAACTAGCTTTAGCAGTCATGAAATGCTACGCTAGCTGCAGCGTAGCAGAAAAGAAGAAGTTATCGACGGCGCTAAAACCCACCGCCTGGCTCTGAGTGGTTGTTGAAGGCAGGAGATTTTTTATTTTACAAATTACATCTTATACTATCCTGTCAACATGGTAATGTTTCAACAAATGTGTAAACAGATTCTTATGTTGCAGCTTTTAGTGATTAAATGAAAAATCTGCAGAATGTGGCAAATTTTTTATTCATCATAAAAAAAAAATTGTTTCAGCCTTTTCTTCTCATTTTCCACTTTCTGTAGAAAAAGGCAACCGGTGCCACCACAACCAGCCAACTCTTGTCAGCAAAATCACCAAAAAATCCACAGCTTGTGTTTGGATCATGAATTCAAGGCAGACAGTGACAAACATGAAGTAGTTTCTTCATTTTCTCCGGTCAGCATGTGCCTGTATAATTCATTTCTGATTACAGTCAGCTTTCCCATCATGTCGAAGGAGAGACGCTGGGAGAAAAGTAATTTCTTCATCACCGATCGATAGCTCCACGCATTACTCTCACGTCTCAGAGTGAAAACCCAGCAAGGGGCTTCTCTGGATCATTTTCTGCAGCTCCTCAAAACCGAGTGACAAGAGGCTGCAGTTTCAACAGCACAGCCTGCTTGATGGCATGCAAGAGTGCAATAGTGTGTGTGACTGCATGTGTGGCAAGTGCTCCCCCTGCTGGTGAACAACTGCAGGACACAACATCCCAGCACAGATGATGTCAGCTTTGACCTTTTGCTGTTCTTTTATTCGTGCAACAACAGGGACTCTGCAGACTCCGAGTCGAACGCATAAAGCTGCTCAAGGCGAGCAGGAGGGCACTGTGCATGCCAACAGAGCGACGCACCGATACCGACAGAGCTGCAGGGATCTCCATCTGCAAGCTTCAAGGTGATTGACTCCAGCTTACGTCACCGGTTAGAAGCAGCTTCACAATCATGCAGGCATTTACCAGAGTCCAGGTAAAACCGAGGCAATACCTCCTGACTGCAAAGCATAAAATCTTACCAAGTATTTTAGTCTAGTTTCTAGTACAGATATTTTAATATTCTCAAAATAAGACTTATAAGGCATGCTTGTTCTAAGATAAGTTAATTTTAATGAATAGGTTCCAATTCCTTTGGAACATTTTACATATAATATTGGGAGAAAAGTGTTAAGTAAAACTGTTTTTTTTTTAACAATGGTCCTAATACTCCACAGCAGATTTAGCATATTTGCTGTATTAAAAGACATTTACTTTTCAGTTTATGTTGGACTTTATTTAATAAATTATTTTCAGGAATAAAAACAGGATTTTTTTGGGTCACTTTGCTTTTCAAAGCTGATTTTTTTCCCCTTTTCTAAAACTTGCTAAAATATTTTTGAAACAAAAAGTATTGGACTTTTACTGGCTTTTCAGTAAAAGTCTTTGAATAAACTCTGTTTTACCTTTTGCTGAAGTTTTGTGATAAAAATAAATACTTCTCACGGCCACAAATGGCCCCCAGACCGCACTTTGGACATCCCTGCCCTATTGTATCAACTCGAGATGGGAATGATAGAAAGTTGGCCACTCGGAGGTAAAAAACAAACAGCCATGCCGCCCACACACGCTCAGCGCTGATGGGTTCTCACAAAGGTAATTAGAACCAAAGGCAATTTATCCATATGTAATTACAGCCAATTAAACCGCCAGCAGCCTTCCTTTATAAATGAGCGCCGCTCATAAAAGGTGTAAGGGAAAAAATCTTTGATGAACGATCCCACGCAGTCTTCCGACTCGTCCATAAATAATAGACGTGGCTAATGATGATGGCGTCTGTGGCTGATTGAATATCAAGGAGAGAGAGAGAAGATTACCTTTGTTGAAGAACATGGAGGCCATTTGACCCATCTCGACCCGCTCCACGATGTCGAAGTGATCATGACCCGACCTCTCTGTGGAAACAAACGTTAGAAACAGATCAGCAACTTTCTGTGTTTTTCAGTTCTTCTGGATGCTGCAATACTTTTCTGTAAATTATACATTTTCCAACACCTTTTCCAAAAAGTTGCAATTTTAAGCTTAATTTTTGCCATAACATGGTTTTACAAAATAGTCAAAGAAAACAAAAAGTAAATAAAGTTATAAAAACTCAATTTCTAGAATAGTAAAAATCTGAGAAGAAAACCAGCAAGAATAAAAAGTCATAATATTTAGAGAATAAATTTACTACAAGAACAAAGTTGTACAAAAATTGTCATAATATTTAGAGAATAAAGTCAGAATAAAATCCTAACATTAGGGTGCCTTATTGTCATGACATTCTAACTATCGTTGCTTAATTTCAACTTTATTCACCTGGAATGGCTCTCAGTTGAAACGGCTCATTTAAACACTAAAAAACTTTTAACTTCGTGCCGCAAGTGGCCCGTGGGCCACACTTTGGACATCCCTGCATTAGAGCGATACTCACGGACAGACAGGATGGGCTTCGTTTCCGGTTCCGACCGACCTTGACCCGAATCGTCTTCCGAATCGGACGTGGAGTTGCCGTCGTCCGTCTGTGGGGAATAAAACAGCTTTATTCCGCTTTCCTGTTGTCCTAATTTCACAACAGTCAGATTACAAGCTATTAACTCGCCGTTTATTTCACACAGGCGCAAACATCTGGAAATTACAGGCAGCAGCTGGAAGTGCTGCAGAGGCGCTCTCAGAACCAGAGTCTCTGCAGATTAATGCCAATTATCCGTCAATGATGAAAATTTGTGAGCATCATGAGCCGAATTAAAGCAGAACAGATGAAGACCGACAGCAGATAACAGGAAACGGCAGGCAGAGGAAACAGTCAAAACTCCAGTTTTCAGGAGGGAAAAGTCTATCAGTCACCGACTGAGAAACCAGTGATTAAAATCATCAATACGCATTAAATTGACTTGTCAGTGCTTTATTTTATTTATTATGGTTCAAAAGCAAAAATAAAATTAAGCATTTTTAAGTCTTGATTTAAAGCAGCGTTTCTCTATTCCTTCCTGATGCCTTTCAAGTTTTCAGACAAAAGCTTTTATTCATTTTCCCCATTTGTTCCAAAAAACCTGAAAAAAAAAAACGTTTGCATCGTTTTCTTTTACATGACTACATTATCTTATATCAATTTTATCAGTTTTTACCAACTCCTAACACATGGTTATGTTTGGTAAATATTAAACTTTTATTACGACATGATGGGTTTTGATTAAATATTTTAATAAGAGTCTAATTAGAAAGAGCAAAATTTCAATTCAAAAATCTTTTGTTGGTGAATTATTGACTTAATGAACATATGAGCTCAACAAAGATGATATTTTAGTTATTTTTCACCATAATGCAGTTTCCCTCTTTTGTCATTTTCCCTCTGTCCACTCCAAAGTGCTGCTCCTCGTTTCCCTGAGGTCATCTTGCACAACTCCCTTCAGGTTTCAGCTCAGGAGTTACGACCCTACAGATGAAAAGCCGGGGTCGCAGCGAGCCCCGAACGCTCGGCCTTTGATTCATAGCCGCTCCTCAGCATTTTCCTCCCACATAATGGAAAACAACGGAGGAGTAAAACTGGGAATGTTTGCAGCTCAACTCCCTTTACTTCTCCCTGCTTGAGTGAAGCCCATTATCACTGGGCACTTTATTCTCCCACAGTTGAGGAATTGCCTTATATTAGGCTGGAACATTGGGTAGAGTGTATTAGGAGTTGTTCACATGATTTAAACGGACAGTTAGAAATGTCTTAAAGGAGACAGGACTGTTGTAAAATTTACAGACAAGATGTTTGTTTTCTTGAACTGGAGCAGCTAAAATCATCTCTACTGGTGAATTCACACCAGTTCAGTTTGCTTTAATTAAACCATTTTGAAGCAGAGTTTGGTTCAGTGGATAATCAAACTCTGCTCAGCAGCCGTTCGGCTGAAGAGCTCCAATGTACATCTGAACGCCAATTACTGGTCCATAAATTGTTCCAACTATAACTGCAATAAACCACAAAAAAAATTTGAGCCAATTTTTCCTTAATGGCATTAAAATGAAAGTTGGGTCCTTCAAAGATCAATAAGACATTTTAAAAGCCTAAAATAATTTTCTGCAAAAATAAAAAAACCCACATTCAAAACAAATAAAATGGAATATAAAGTTGTCACAAACAAACTCCCTTCAGAAACTAAAATAATCAAGCTCATCTCACTGGAGATCGCTCCAAAAGCAGGAAGTAAACTGCAGCCCAGGGCATTCTGGGTAAATCCAACCAAGACATGCTATGCTAATGCTAGCAGAAGAAATCCTGCAACTATAAAACTTCTGTTTGCTTTTTGTGAAGAAGAAAGTTATGCTCACTTCGTCAAAGGTTTCAATGTCATTTCCTTCACTGGTTGTTGGTTCAGCGCCCCCACAGGCCAAGAGGGCAACAGGTTTTCAAAGGGTTTGGTTTTTTTGACTCATTGAACCACAACACTTAAAATTTAGCAAATTATCCATTTTTGATCCCCACTCAAACCAGGTCTCCAAACATAATCCTAAAAAAAACCCACAAAGTTGCAATTTGGTCCAGATTCAGATCAAAATCCAGACTTTTAGAATCACTAACTGTTTTGAATACAAGCCTTTTCTGATTCATCTCATCGCAGAGTTCATCATACCTCTTCCTGCTCTCTTCTCTTCCAACGCAGCTGAGCATTGGCCGCCGCCATCGCCTCGATCACAAAAGTGGTCGTCATATAACTAAAGAATCAAAAGATGAAAGATTTAAAAAATAAAAAAATGCATTTCAAACAGACTCCAGGGAATGACTCAAGACTTTCAGAGCTTTAAATGATATGCTACAAAGACTTCCCTGAAATTATCTAAATTTAAGAGAAGTTAAATTTAGGTAATTTAAATTAAAGAGAAGTTAAATTTAGACAATTTAAATTAAAGAGAACAGTACTAAAATGACTAATTGTTTCACAGACCACATTTCTCCAAAACCATAAAACTGCTGTTTCTTTAAGCTAAATTTGTTTGTCATTTTTCTGTCTAAAACAATTTTATTTTCAAGCCCGTTTATTCTTAAGATGCCTTCTTGGTTCACTAGAGAAAAGAAGAATGAATGATTCTGCATCTGCTGCATCATTAGAGCCAGAATAATCTGCTCTGCAGGGAGCAGAAAAGTAATAATGTTTGGAGAGAAAACAAAAAAACATGTCAAAGCAGAAGAGGTGGAAATGAGTTTAAATCCCGGCAGACTCACCTCATGAATGCTAAAAAGACGATGAGCGACAAGCTGACCACCCAACCGGCTGCAGCAAAAGCTTTCGGCATGGTCAGGGCTCCTGTTCCCACAATCAGGTTGAACATGTACACCAGCCCCACCTAGAGGCCAAACAAGGCAAGTCATCCATTAATCCACAGAGACTGAACTGCAGCTTTAATTTAAACTAAACTAAATCCAACATTTCATTTGAAGACATTTATTCTGGGGGTGAGAAGATCTGTTAAAAACATAATTAGCTCATGTTACAAGGTCGGATATTTAAACATATTTTAAACAAGTTTTGTGTTTTGCAGCGCTCCCACACCCTGCAGGTTTTCAGTGTGTGCTGAACCTGCTGTTTCAGAGTCAACGACGTCATGCAGTCCAACAAGGTTCTCATTTATCTCAACTTTGACATTAGGTCAACTCACGGGAGGAATTATTTAAATAAAAGCCAGTTTAGATATTTTCTGCAATTTGCATTTTTTTAAAGAAAAAAAGAGATTAAAATCAGAAACCAAATCTGGTATTAAAAATTTTAAATATACTGATACTTCCAAACATTTGTGATAGTGATCCTGTTACAAAAAGATAATCAAAACCCTAAAATTAAAGGGTGTATCTTCCAGTGAGAGATGAAGCTGCTGCAATAAAATATGAACTTATTGAGTGTATTCCGCTTCATAATGATCGAAGAAGACTTCTCTTCGAGCTTCTTAGAAAACTGGACAATCCGATAACAGATTGCTTAATAATTCAAAGGTTTTGCTTCCTAGAGAAATATCTGAGTGAGCCTCTCAAGTCACGCTGATGTAAGCAAAACCAGAGACCAACGGAGTGAGCTGTCAAACATGAGTGCAAACCACACATAGAAGCACAGTGCATGCTGATAAAATAAAGAGGATGTTTGTCATGTGCATTCTGGTTACTTATTAGCAGCTTTTTAACGAGGAACCGTCTCCAGAAGAAAAAAGATCAGCATGTGTTCAGAGCTTTCACAAGATGACTAAATCCTCAGGTGGATTTTCAAATCAGGGAATTTAGACCATCAGATATTTCTTTGCATAAATGTCCTGAGTGATACTCACAAATGGGGAGTAGGGCTCGCCGGTTTCTGTGATTCCACCTGCCATGTTTGCTTACAGCAATCCTCACCTGAACAGATGGAAATGTGGCATTAAAACATCCAGGGCAAATTAATCCAATTATTTAACTAATAATTAACTATTTTAGTTATCAATTAATTGGAGCAAACAGACTCAGAATAATATTTTGCAAAATAAAATAGTCAGCAGATATTAGGTCAAACATTTTCTATTCAAGATGAAAATCCTTTTTGTCTGTAAGTGTGTTTTATGCAAAACTCCTCAAGTGGAAGTTTTACTTTCACCTGGTTCAAATGAAGTAAAACAAAACTTATAAAGCACATTTTGCTCTTCAAGTGATCAAAAACACACAATAGGCAGCATCTTTTTAGCTGAACATGCATCATACGCTACAAATAAAGCATAAAGAACTGCAACAATTTTGTATATTGGGCAATAAAATTTGTTTTCTTATTTCTAAGAGGAACTGAGCCATTTGCTCATTTCATTCTGTGAAAAAAGAGGCTTAATAAGAAAATCTGCAGAATATGCCAAACCTAACATCGATTAATTGTCAAAATAATTGTTTACTTGAATAATTTGTCAAATAAACATTTTCTGCTCTGAGAGATTTGTGTTTAGAATTTATTGTTGATTTCCTTCCACTATACAAAACCCTCCCTTTAGTCAGATTTTGGTAAAACTTTACATGAATGTTTTATCAGTCTTTTTGGGAACATATGCAGAGTTCATTTAAATTAGTCGGTTTCCTGCACTGACTCAACTTTAAGCATGGTGACGAAATTTTCCAACAAGTCTAAGCTTAAAATATTTTGTTTTCAAGGCAGTTTGGATGCCATTGTTGTCCTGCTGCAGAACCAGAGTTTCAACTTTGTTGTAATTAGTAGAAAAAAAAGTGATTTGTGAACAAGAATGTATAATATCCAGAAATGGATCAGCTAAACCTATAAGTTTATTTCACTGCAATGACAAATAAAATGTAATTTTTACAGGTTTTTTCCCCCTTTATTTACTCTGTTTGACTTTTCTGTTAATGTAGTTAACAGGGCCAGATTTCCAAGGATGGTCAGTTTTGGTGTCCAATCCACAAAAGAAAATAGTTTACTAATCCAAATTGGTTTATTAATCATAATAATTAAATATACATAGCAGTTAATACATCTCCAGGATAATATCTCCATTTTGCTCCCCAAATAGTGATACAACTCACCTGATATAGTTTTATATATAGTGCAGTGCCTGCAAAACACGCATTGATTAAAAATAAAAAAAGATCAGCTGTCCCTGTGGCCCAGCGTGAAATGCTTCTCTTAATTTGAATGTTTTACAATCAAACTACTATATAAAATAGGTAGAAGCATAAATTATTTTTTATTTTCGTGTTTGCAGGAATTTCCTCTGGGAAACATGTTTACCTGCCAGAGTTTGATGCCGCTAGCAGCAAAGCGAAACCGTATAAACCTCACGGCTCTTATAATTCATCGTTTTACTTTGTTTTCAGATAAAACCCGATTTGTTTCAGGATGTTCTGCAGGTGTCTTCACGGAGTTAACACCATCAGAAAGTAAACAGACTCACCTCCAGGCTTCTAGCCGAGTTAGCTGCTAGGCTAGCAGGATGCTCCGAGCGGTAACTTCTTGCCGGCTAACCCAATAAACGTTCCCAACCAGCGGCAGCCAACACAAGCCGTTCCGCCCTGAACCGAGGCGGAAACACCGACAAGAAACACAGACAAAATCACATCCTCACGGGCTGATAAGGCTGGTAAATTGAGCACAGCTGCGCACCTGTCACAGCAATCAGCTGACCCACTTCCGCATAACCCCAACTTCCGGCGAGCATTTCCAAAATAAAAGCTAGTCGATGTACTCACCAGCTTGTAAAATACGATTTTTACAGAAATGTTTTAGAAGATTACTATTATTTTAATTCACTGCTTATTTTTTAAAGGAAATTTATACATTTTGACAAGTTTCTACTTTACAGAAATTTTAAAGAACCACCATTAATTTCTGGCTTATATTTTAAAATAAAGAAAATATAAAACAAAAATAGGTCCAAAAATTATTATTATCATTCTTTTGCAGAAATTCAATTCATATTCAACTATTCCATGTAAAAGCTGAAAAAAAAACTGCTAATGCTGCAGGAGTGTCAAACTCCAGTCCTCAAAGGCCGGTGTCCTACGACTTTTCGATGAGCCTCTGCTGCACCACACTTGAATAGAATAATTAGGTCATTAAGGCTCTGGAGATCTGATCTGCATAAAGAGGAGGTAATTAAGTCATTTCAATCCAGTGTTTTGTACCTGTGGCACATCTAAAAACTGCAGGATACCGGAACTGGACTTTGACACTTGTCCATTTTAAGAGATTAATTTAAAAACATTTGTTGTTTTTATCTTTTACCAACTTTCCATGGCTGCAAACCTTTAGCATCCTGGGATTTCACAAATTAAAACTCCATAAGAATAATCTGTCCTTCTCCAGTTTCTGGAATCATTGGGGTCAAACATGAAGAGCGTGGGCCATTTGTGGTCTTTGTAATGATTTTCTGCAGCCCCCAACTGATGTTTAATAACGATAACTCTGAGCTGAAATGATGCATTTGGTTTTCTGCAAATATTGAAGTTCATTGATTTGCAACTCTGAATAGTAAAGTTCAGCTTCTATTTTCAGAGAAAGGAAGCCATCTCCACCCTTCTTCGGTCTTCATCTGATAGTTGTGTCCTAAACTTCAGCATGCTGCATTTTTTGTAATTTCTTCTCGCAACGCATGGTCTTTATATGGAGGGAATTGCTGCTGGGAAGATTAACACCTGTCCTAATATTTTTCATTTGTAAATAATATTCCTTTCTAATTTGATTTGCAGCACCTGATTTTTAAAGCTTGATCTATTAATACAGTCTTGAACGGTTTTCACCCGGGCCTTTTTACGTTATTGAAGCATAATGTTTTCAGTCAGAACTCTATATAAACTATATGAAAGGATTGTTTAATTAAAAAGCCGCAGGTGTTTTGTTCCTGCTGACCAGCTGCAGCCAAACAAAGAAAATATTTGGCTGATCAAATATCCAGAACACACAACCAAAGGAGATTATGTTCCACCATTAAATTCATACATTGATTTTATGTTTGCACTTTTTATTGAGGTGTCTTGATAAATAGCTGGTCAGTTTGTAAAGAATCTTCAGACTGAGGCGTCATGGCAGCTCTGACTGTGACTCTTCTTGCTTTAGCAGGTGAACTTCTGCGGCATAAACTTTTCTATTTAGTCATGTATAAAAGCTTGCTAACTGGGAAATGTTTCAGGTGTTTCCTGCAGCCAGGCTTCAGATTGTTCCTATTCTGCTCTGTTGAATCACCTCAAGCTGGATGCGACGAACAGCGGTCTTCAGATCGAACGTCCTGTGAAGAACTGGAACACAATCACAGAGGTTCAGCTGGAAATGATTCTGGACAGCATTTTAGACGTGGTGAGTTTTCATCATCTGTCTGTCTTATGCAACTATTTCAAAAAGTTTTCCTTCTTTTTAGCTAAGTGGTTAATTAGGATGGGAATAAAATACATTTATTTTTGTAAAGTTTTGTTTACTGAGGTTAATTTAATTTGAAATGTTAAATATAATTCTGCCATGCAGAACTTTTGACTCAACAATTTTGATCAATGTGAGAAAAAGTTTGGAAAACCCTGATTTTTATCTAACCTCAAAAGTGAAAAACACACTTTATTATTTATCATAGCAAAACAAAAGCTACCATGAAAAAGCTGTGAAAATAATGCAGCAGCTCTTAAAATCAGTTTTTGTGTTAAATATTCTTCATATTGTCTTCAGGATGAGAAGCTTCAAACTGTGACAATTCACATTTATGTCAGAATGGTAAGAAAATAAAGAATTTTCTTGAGTTTTGTTGACATATTTTGATTAAACAATTCAAGTTTTTCCTTTATTTTCATTCTGTCATTTTCCAGTATTGGATTAATGAACATCTGACCTGGAATTCCTCTGAGTTTTGTGGGATAAACATATTAAACATTCCAGTTTCGATGATCTGGGTTCCAGATATAATCATACAGGAAGAGTAAGTTACCAAAAAATAAATTCATAAAACATCTGTGGTTCAATGATCTGGTTTGACTTTATTTTCTTCACTTTTAGTGCCTCTGAGACTGCAAACTCTCATGACCATCCTCTGGTCAGCGTGTGTCCGAACGGGAAGGTCAGTTTAGTCAAACGGCTTCAGCTGACCTACATCTGCAAGTTGAACCTCTTCAGATTCCCGTTTGACAGCCAAACCTGCAACATCACATTTTCATCCCTGAATTACAACAGTAAATACAGATTTATCTCCTCAACATGGGTTTATAAATGTGGGGCAGAGGTACAAAAATCCTCCATAAAGACTTTTATAAAGAGAATATTCTTTTGTTGAAAATAATTTATATAGCTCAAACCTTTTAGTGTTTTATTTCTGAAGATGGGAATGAAAGGAATTATGTAAAATATATATTTTTAGCTTTATATCTTGCTTATCCCTCATTAAAAACATACCTGGAGTTTTGCTTGATTCTTTCAAATGTGTTTGAGAAAAATTTGAATCTCCCATAAGGAGAGAAAATTAGAGAGAAAGAACAAAGGAAAGAAAGAAACAAAGAGAGGAACAGAGAAAGAAACAAATAGCAAAAGGGCAAAGAATAAATTTGGAAAGAAATTAATTTAGGAGGTCAGAAAAATATAGAAATTAACCAGGTAATTAATTAATCTTTTAGTGTTTCTTTTATGAATTGTCAGACGACCTGTTGAAGCTGGTAAAATCCACCAACGACTCCGTCCTGATGAAGCTGTCGGGTCTCAAGATGCTGACTGAGGGCGAATGGAAGCTGGTGAACATGGAAAGCATCAGCTACACGTCTCTCATTCAGAGAAGTTCACTTGTTTACCAGGTAAGATGATCATTTCTGGTCAAATCCCAACAGGAGTTGTGCTGTTTTTTGAAATGAAACTCTATGTTTTCTTCAGATCACTCTGGAGAGGAAGCCGTTTCTTTACGTCGTCAACTTAATTTTGCCCTTGTTGTTTTTGCTGATTCTGGATTTGGCCTCGTTCTTCGTCGGTGTGAGCAGCGGCGAGAAGCTTAGCGTCCAGCTCAAGATACTGCTGTCCATCTTCATCCTTCTGCCTATTCTTAAAGACATTTTACCGTCCACTGAAGACTCTCTGCCTGTGATGGGTAGGAAGCCACAGATTCGTTGTGATTCCTGCATCCATCACCAAGCAGAAACCAACATTTCTCCCTATTTTTCTTCCAGCCATTCACTGTATCTCAGTTTTCACCCTGGTGTGGATCAATGTGTTGGAGACGATGCTGATCAGCCTGTTAAAGGACGTCGTCTGCTGTGTTGGTGAGGAACAGCAAAATGCTGAGGTCATCAAAGTGAAAGAACAGGAAGCTGATAACCGAAACGGTACGATTCCAGCCGCCAGTTTCTGCTACCTGAATCGAGTCACTGCCCAAAACCTTCTGCAAATCTAACACAGCTGGTGTAAAACGATTGTGCAGCAAAACCTTTTGTTTGTGCTGCTATCATCTTAAAGATATTAATAAATGTTTCCAGAGGTCATGAAAGGTCAACCACAATCTCCCACAAATCCAAGTTACATCAATGTTGTTAGATGTGAATAAGGTGTTGGGCATCTGGTGCTTCTGCTCTTAAAACAGTAAAACATTTCCATTATTCATTTCTAACTTGTCAGTTTCTGAACATTTTTCTCACAGAGTCTACGGGAGTTTCAGGAACAGATAAACCGGAGGAGACTAACTCGCCGCTGGATTTACCCGGTGATTCACGGGAGCTGAAATTCATCATGGACAGAACGAAACCTGGTCCAAAAACCCCAGAAACACAGAAAAACATGCAAAAGTCCAACAGGCTTAGATGGGTTCAAATCTTTGACTCTGTATTCTTCGTCCTCTACTTTGCCACTGTTGTGTTTACACAAGCTTTTTTATTTGGTCTTTGGAAAGTTTATGTTTAGAACCAATTTCTGAAACTTCTCAGAAAGTTCACTGTTTTGGTCAAACGCTGCAGCGGAGATGCTTCTGTGGTTCTTCTGCGTTTCGTTTCTCCAATGTGAAATTTGTGTTTGACAGTAAATTTCTATCAGTTAAGACAATAAAACATTTCTGGCTTTAGCATGTATGTTGTTTTTGTAAATAAACCCGAATCACCTTGCAGGGTTTCACCTTATGGCCAATAATACACACTTTAAAACAATGCAAGTCTAACTGCATTGCACCATTCACACATAATATGCTTTACCAATGCAAATAAAGCTTAGGGATACATAAAATAACAATTAAATTTATAAATCAAATCCCCAGACCTTTCATTGCTTGATAGACCATCAGAAATATTTTAAAATCCTTCCTTTCACAAAAACCTTATTTTTAGTAACAATCCATCAAACAAATAAAATAAAAAAATTTGTCAAGTTGAATCCAAAACAATTTCTGTCTTTTTGGTGTCAAATTTCTGAGACATTCACTCATTAAAAAAAGTCATAACCACAGCTTGATTTAACTGATCCCACTGACAGTCCCAGGCTGTGGTCCGTGTCTCCAAACTTATGTACCGTAGTCCAGATGGTTTTCTCAATATTAACATAATCTGACGGTCATAGACTGTACTTGCGCTGTTTCTCTGAGTTAGTGTAGCAGAAAATATTGATTTAAGCAATAAATTGGTTGTATTACTAGGAGTCGAAGCAGCTGCAGCCATATAGGCTGCATTTGCTTTCAAGTGAATTACAAAGTTTACATTTTATATGCGTAACATTTTATTGAGTCAAAGACAAAAACTTGTACAAGTATGAGGAAAAATGTCATCTGATGTTTAAATTCATGCATATTTTTAAGAAAAAAAACAGAAAGCAGTATCCACTGGCAGATATCATTACATGCAGAAAAATACTGTGTAGAAAATAAAAATTCAAAGATCAATCCATCCAACACATATATACGTCACAAATGCTGCAAAAGTCAAAAGGTATCCAACAAAGAACAGATTATCGATTACTGTGGCCACCCTTCGGTAGCATCTGGGCTTCTTCTGACTGCCAGCTTCCTGTCGCGCGGCCTTCACTTCCTCCAGAATCAGCTTCAGCAGCGCGACATCACCGAGTTTCTCCAGAGGGAAAAAACTCTGCTCTGCTTTAACTTGTCCATTCTCTTCTTCGGCCTCTTTAAATCATTAAAATATGATTAATCAACATTCATGTAAAAATGTAACTCTAAATACAAATAGTACAGGTTTGTACTCGTAACCTACAACTAGGACTGTTTTTAATGTTTATTTCAGTCATTAGAGATTTGAAATAGACTCGGATATAAACTCTTCACACCTGATAGTCCGGTAGATTCTGTTCACTTGGGGAACTACATTTTCAGCTGCTGTGCTTCATTTTCACACTGCACTGAATGAACCAAACCGTTTGAGCAACCTGTTCCCCTCCTGGCCTGTGGGGGCGCTGCACCAAGACCCACCAAAGGAAACGACTCAAAACCCTCTGAAGACACTGAGAGCAACTTCCTTCTTCACCAAATGGAAATAAAAATAAAGTGGGCTCAGATCTTAGCGGTAGGCTAGCAGTAAATTAGTGCGTTTGTTTTGGTTGAATTTACCCAGAATGCCGTGTGCTGTAGTCAAACTCTGGTCCTAGTACAAACCTCAATCTCAGTTCGGTTTAAATGCATTTATGAATTTAAACCTCCTTTTGGAGGAAGTGGACTACAGAGTAGGGCATTCTGGGTAACAAACATGTTAGCTTTGCGTTAGCTAGTGGTCTTTAGTCAAAGACAATATCGAAGTCCCACAACCTCTAAAATCTGACACCACTCCATTTTGTTTCCATCTGGAGAAACAGGAAGTTGCTCTCAGTGTCTTCAGAGGTTTTTGTGCCATTTCCTCAGTGGTTCTTGGTGCAGCTCCCCCACAGGCCAGGAGGGGAACTGGCTGGTTTGACTCAGAGTTTTGGTCCCAAATCAAACCGAGTCGACTATCGGATGTGAAGACGCCTCACTTTTCTCAGAACTTCAAAATGGTCTTATTTGTGTGAATAAATTATTTGCAAACAAATTAATTGAATCTATTTTTAAGAAATATTCACTAAGAACATACCTTTCTGAACTTTGATGTCCCTTTTCATGCAAATGTTCTTACTTTCTTTATCACAACAAGGATCCAGATTAAGTAGGAAGCTGACCAGCATGGATTCAAGCACACTGAGCCACACCAAGGTGAACACTGCGACGCAGAGGTTGGCTGCAAAAACAGGAATTTAATACAGCTGTGTCTGCAATAAACCAGTTAATCACACAATAAATTAAAACAAGCTCAACAGTTTCCATCTGCATGATTTATGATTTATTGTGAAAATTAAGAAATTAGAAACTCTCATATATTTTGTGTAAGTTAGTTCTGTCTAAATTCAAATGTACTAATACATTTGCACTAGAAAGTCGAGCAAAAATACTTTGTAAAATTTAGTGTTTTTGCAGTGCGGCTGCTACTCACCGATCACCGGCAGGTCTACTTCTGTCGAGGGTAAAATGTCCTTCAGAATCAGCAGTAAGACGGAGATGGACAGGAGCACAGTCACTTTAAAGCCGAACTTTTCACCCGAATCCACAGGAATGGAAAAAGAAGCCAAATCCAGGAACAGTAAATACACCAGCGGGATGATGAAGTTTATGACGTAAAGAAACGGTTTTCTCTCCAATGTCACCTGAAAGAAACGCCACATTGGGGTCAGATGGACTCAGAGAAAATGAACAAACTTTCTGTGGATGTATCTTACGATGTAAGAAATTGTGCTGTGATATCTCCACCCGTTGGTTATGTTACCACTGACTAATTCGATGTCTTTCAGACTCCATTCTCCCTGAGTGATCATGAACTGCGTGGATGTGACCGTCAGAACCGAGTCGTTTGTGAATGATCCGAGGACCAAGCTGTTCACTGTTCACAGGGCAGAAAAACCTTTAATTCATCCTCCTGCCTCCATCCTGGATGCTAATCTGACAGTCTGTGTTTTACCATCAATGTCCATGGATGTAAATGTGATGTTGCAACGTTGCAAATCAAAGGGGAACTTGTAGAGGTTTAAGCGGCAGGTGAAGGTCAGCCTCTGGCGGAGGAAGGTGAACATAGAACCGTCGGGACGCACGATGACCCAAGGAGTTTCATGGATGCTGCCGTCATCAGAGGCACTGAAGGCAACAGAAGAGGAAGCAACTTTAGACTCAGACAACATCTAATGTAGCAAGCAATGCTAAGAAAAGCACTTCCCCTTTCAGTTCTTCTTTTTTTGCCTTTGTCACACTTACATGTTTTAGATTGTCACTTAAATAATATTATCATAAAAGGAAACACAAAAAGCAGTTTTTAAACAGCCATCCAACTTAACCAGATGCATTGCACATAGTTTTAATGTTGCAGAAAATTTTATAACTGCAACTAAAATGCACAAACAACAACAGCTGGACTTTGGTGCAGAACCAGTCAGTGGGCGAGAGTTGAGGTTAGTGGGACAGGATGTAGAGAGGAAATGATGCCCTGGTTGTCAGTTTTATGTTTAGGCACCAGCTGTTGAATATATTTATTAAAGTAACTCGTAATCTAACTTAGTAACTTTTAAAATCAGTCAGTTGGGAAACTAAAGGTGTTTTTTACACCTGATAGACTCAGTTTGATTGGTGACCAAAGTTGCAACATTTATTCCATTTTCAGCTCTCTTTCTCTCTGCTCTGAGTCAAACCAACTTGTTCCCCTCCTGACCTGAGGGGGCACTGCACCAAGAACTACTGAAGGGAATGACACAAAAACCTCAGAAGAAGTCCTGAGCGCAACTTCATCTTCACAAATGTAAACAAAAACTTGAGGATTTGAGGTTGGAGAATTTCTCTTTTGTTCTTGGTAAAAGACAATGAGCCATTTCTCCTGCTAACGCTAAGCTATCACATTTGTTTTGGTTGTATTTACCCAGAACTCCCGGGACTGTAGTCCACTTCATGCTTTTGGAGTGGTCTCCGGTCCGCTTGGCGTTCACATATGCATTCAAACCGAACCAGAGTTCACTTCAACCGAACCGACACCGAGGTTTGTAGGACCACAGTTTGCTTCTTTGGTCAGAGTTCTCACAGAGTCCATTAACAACTGGACTTTCTCTGCAAATGGACTGGAGTTTGATTGTTGAGGGCCAAATGGCTTCCAAATGGAATGCCATTACCAAAGTGCATCTTTGGGAATGGCAAAGTCCTCATCCATCTGAGGACTTTGTATTGACTTCCATCCAGTTTATTAACAACCCAGTGACAAACACAGAGATTTTTCCAAACACAAACTATCACTAGTGTATTCCTAACCAGAACTCAATCCAGAACTCAATCCACTTTAATCAAACTCCAGTCCATTCGCCTAGAAAGTCTGGATTGTTTTAGTGAGGTGAGAAACTGAAATAACCAAAACTCAATTTACACCTTAGTCCTAGATCTGACCCTTGACCCAAAACAGCGTTTCTCCTTGTGGAGACCAGGCTTTGGTTCCCACACGATATTACAAACAAACACGCGCACACGCATACTCACTCTTGTTGAATGACTATTTCTGGGATCCAGAGTTTTGCCTTGGGAACAGAAACCTCGTTTATCCCGCAGAAGTCAGATTGATTCCACCTTACAAATTCATTCGTCCAATACTTGTGAGAAAAAACAAAACCTGAGTGTTTCTCGCACTTACAATTTAGTAATGGTGAATATATTTACATTTACAAACGTCATTTCATCAGATTGAACGAAATGTTTAACAGACCAGTGTAAAATCTTACCTTCGTGACCCAAATGTGACTTGTGACAGTTTGGCTCTTCTCATCCTGCAGACATCAATACTTTATACACGTCAAAGAAACCGGCGATATAATTTAGCTATTGTTCTAATTCTGCCATTAAGTGTGGGGATGCTTATTAATGTGTAATATTTATCAAATAAATACATTAAAATATAAAAATAAATATTTGAAC